GTGTTGGCCAACATGCTCTCTCTCCTTGCCTGTTGTTATACAGGCTGCCTTCATAGACATGTTCACCTGCATGTGTCCAGTGGTGATTGAGATATAAGTGGCTATGCATATCTACTGTGTTGCGGGGGGGGGGGGGGGGAAGGAGTACTAAAACCTTCCGCTGCTTCTCACATGCTTCTAGTGCAGTGTGCCTTGATGCAGCAGATGAATTGTAGTCTTCTCTTACCTTTGTTTTCAGAATGTGTTGCCCTATGCGCTACTTTGTGCAGCTGGAGGTATGAGCTGTAATTAAAAGTACATAGAAACATTGTATCGACAAGTTTGTAAGGACCCCCTTGGGCATTGAAAATGTATTCCCCAGAATGCCCCCCTTCCCCTGTTCCTGCTGCTGTCCCATCCCTACTGCAGTACATTGGTCTTCAGTAGGAAAAATTACACGAATAAATAATTGATTTAAACTTAATTCTGTTTATTGGTTAACTGGTGGGAGTGGTTTTGTGGCTGCAAATATGTGTAACAGTACATGAATATCGTTTAAGTGTTTTCAGGATCAGGGCCAACCCCTTTATGGACTTAGTTGCAGAAAGGACCGAATTTTGCTCCAGAGTCAGACTATATATTGGAGCTTTTTGAAATTTACTTGAATACAATGTCTGCACCCTTGAGAGGGTGAGCAGCACATGCATTACCCCAGTGGGCATCATTATGTTAGCAGAATGAGGTCACATTAGCTGTTCTGAAGGGTTTTTCAGGCTGAGACTTAAAAGAAGATGTAATCCTTAACCTTCTACAGATGGGGAAACCAGCACAGGTGTGCCTGAACAGTCACACCGTGGAACAATATAGAAAGTCAGAAAAATTTAACTACATATAACTGACAGATTACAGAGTAGCAGCTGTGTTAGTCTGTATTTGCAAAAAGAAAAGGAGTACTTGTCAACTGCTGGAAATGGCTCACCTTGATTATCACTACAAAAGGTCACCCCCCCCCCCCCTGCTGGTAATAGCTCACCTTAAGTGATCACTCTGGTTACAGTGTGTATGGTAACTCCCATTGTTTCATGTTTTCTATGTATATAAATCTCCCCACTGTATTTTCCACTGAATGCATCCAATGAAGTGAGCTGTAGCTCACGAAAGCTTATGCTCAAATAAATTTGTTAGTCTCTAAGGTGCCACTAGTACTCCTTTTCTTTTTACATGTAACTGAGTTCTTTAATATCTCAGTCATGCTTATCAAACTGGCAGCCTTTCTCTAAGGGGTAAGGATGTATTCTGATGTTTGATTGGTAGTTGTTTTTTGTTTTTGTTTTGTAAATGAAAATAATTTGTGGTGGTGGGCTGTGCATTCTAGCAACTCTAATTCCACCACAACTTTTTATAACAGTGCCATTTAATCTCTATAATAATGTAGTGGGAGCTCTCTTTCTACCTTTGTACCATCACAGCAGTTTTTCTTACATCACAACTGACTGAACATGTAGGAAGAGGGGGCAGGTTATTCCCCTTTGCCTTCGCTCTGCACTGCATGTACTCCGCTGGCGGGGAGACATCCCAGGATCTCTGCAGGTGCCCCTTTTGCCCCATCTCTGAATTGAGATGATGTCACAGCAGGGGCAAAGCACTAAGGGCACTAAGCAGGTGGTTGGATTGAGGAGGAAAAGGTGTACAGTGGTGCACTGTGAGAGATGTAGAGTGTCCTGGCCTATCTATGTTATTGGACTTTGGTGGTTGCATGGCAGCATGAGCAATGCAGTGTCGTGCTTTCTCCCACCATGAAGCGAGCAGACAGAAACTTCTACCTGCCAGGGAAGTGGTGGGAAGGACAAGCTGTCACGACAAGTGCCCTAATACGTGCAACACAAGTCACAGATGGAGCATCCCTGAGCTGTGCTGCCACTGGGAGCAGCCAACCTCACACTGAGGGGGATTGGTGACCCATTCCAAGAGTGGGGATAGTAGGTTACAGGGGGGTACCCTTAGCTATCCCCCCATCAACTCTGCTTCTCTTCTTTGGCCTACATGCCTCAGTTTTCTCCTCTCAAACCACTTCATCTCCTGCTCCCCCACTCCCAGGCACTCACACCCTCCCCCAATCACCTAGATAAAGCCCCCTAATCCCTCTCATTCCTTCCCCCCAGGGCACCTGCTCATCAACCAAAGTCCCTTAATCTCCCCTATCCCCCACATCCCTCCTGCCCATACCCCCCTTGTGGGTCCCAAAGCAGGCTGCCCCCACTTCAACCCCCATGGGTCTAGCCACAACCCCACTACCCAAAACTGCAGGCAGCTCCAATCCCTCTGCTCACCCCCAATCTCCCACCTGCCCCACCTTTTGCCCCTCAGCCTCACTCCTCTTCAGCCGCACCGTAAGTCCCCCTATTGGGGGCGCCCTTCCACACCCATGGCCCCTCCACCACTGCCGTGTTCCCAGCGGAGCCCGCCTGGGCGGGGCGGAGGGAAGGAGTTGTACCGCAGTGCCTTGCGGGCGATGTAGTATGTCCCGGCCTGCATCTCCCATCAGCCACCGCAGGGCCAGCGGCACCATGGGAGTGGCAGTGTCCGGTGCCTGCGTCTCCCAGCGGCCAGTGCGGGGCCCGGCGTTTCCTGTTTGGGCGAGAGGAAGGCGCTTTCGGTATCACAGCTTCCGTTTGCAGGGCAAGGCGGGAAGAGGAAGTGACTTAATTCGCCCGGACGCCAAAGCTCCTGCCAACCCCAGTACCTCGGGGGATTGTCTTGATTCTCCACGAGTCGCTGCGGTCGTGAGCGATGCATCATGGGAGTTGTAGTTGACAACGTGCTGCCTTCTCGGGAACGTTTGGTACCCCTCAGCCCGCGGCCCCCTAACCTTCCCAACACTACACCCCCCATCCTTCCACCAGTGGGGTCCTCAGCCCGCCTCTTCCCTCCCTCCCCAACACCACCAGCCCCACACAACTTTTCCCAAGCGGCACCCCCATTCCCCCGAGTCAATTCCTCCACCTGGGGCCCCTCAGCTCCCTCTTTCGCCCCCCCAGCCCCATTCCCCCGAGTCAATTCCTCCACCCGGGGCCCCTCAGCCCCCCTCTCTCCTCCCCCCCAAAATCCCCCAGCCCACCCCAACCTACACCCCAGTCCATGCCCCTCATCCGTGGGAACCTCAGCCCCCCATCCTCCCTCCCTCCCCAACACCCCAAGCTCACCACAACCTGAACCCCCATTCCTACCCTTCCCACCAGTCCATCCCTCCACCCATGGGACCCCTCAGTCCCCCTCTCTCCTCCCTCCCCAACGCCACCAGCCCACCACAATCTGCACTCCCATCCATTCCTCCCTCCCTTCCACACAGCACAACAACACACACAGCCCATCTCACACAGACACATTGAACACGACACACAACCCGTCTCACACAGAGACAAACAATACGACACACACAACAGGACACACACATCACAAACACGCTGGACAACACTACACACGGACAACACGACACACACACACTCCACACAACACTCGAGATGACACACAACACACACACAACATGACACACACACAACACTACCCACGACCAGTTTCACAAAGACACACACAACACAACATGTCAGACACACACAAGACACACAAGACACCACACACACGACACCGACACACACACACAGAACACGACACATAACACGTCACACACACACACACATACAACACAGGACACCGACACACACACAGAGTACACGACACACAACACGTCACACAAAATGACACACACAATAAGACACACAAACATCACACACAACACACCACACATACACAACGACACACAACACACACCATGTCCATGTCACACATACACATCACACACAACTCGTCACACGACACACAACATGTCACATACAACACGACACACAAAACATCACACACACAACACCTGTCAGAGTAACAGCCGTGTTAGTCTGTATTCACAAAAAGAAAAGGAGTACTTATGGCACCTTAGAGACTAACCAATTTATTTGAGCATAAGCTTTCGTGAGCTACAGCTCACTTCATTGGATGCATACTGTGGAAAGTGTAGAAGATCTTTTTATATACACACAAAGCATGAAAAAATACCTCCTCCCACCCCACTCTCCTGCTGGTAATAGCTTATCTAAAGTGATCACTCTCCTTACAATGTGTATGATAATCAAGTTGGGCCACTTCCAGCACAAATCCAGGTTTTCTCACACCCCCCCCCCACACACACACATACACAAACCCACTCTCCTGCTGGTAATAGCTTATCTAAAGTGACCACTCTCCTTACAATGTGTATGATAATCAAGGTGGGCCATTTCCAGCACAAATCCAGGGTTTAACAAGAATGTCTGGGGGGGGGGGGAGGTAGGAAAAAAACAAGGGGAAATAGGTTACCTTGCATAATGACTTAGCCACTCCCAGTCTCTATTCAAGCCTAAGTTAATTGTATCAAATTTGCAAATGAATTCCAATTCAACAGTTTCTCGCTGGAGTCTGGATTTGAAGTTTTTTTGTTTTAATATAGCAACTTTCATGTCTGTAATCGCGTGACCAGAGAGATTGAATTTATGAATGTTATAATTCTTGACATCTGATTTGTGTCCATTTATTCTTTTACGTAGAGACTGTCCAGTTTGACCAATGTACATGGCAGAGAGGCATTGCTGGCACATGATGGCATATATCACATTGGTGGATGTGCAGGTCAACGAGCCTCTGATAGTGTGGCTGATGTTATTAGGTCCTGTGATGAGGTCCAGCAACCACATACCACACAACAGAACCACTAACCCAGGAACCTATCCTTGCAACAAAGCCCGTTGCCAACTGTGCCCACATATCTATTCAGGGGACACCATCACAGGGTCTAATAACATCAGCCACACTATCAGAGGCTCGTTCACCTGCACATCCACCAATGTGATATATGCCATCATGTGCCAGCAATGCCCCTCTGCCATGTACATTGGTCAAACTGGACAGTCTCTACGTAAAAGAATAAATGGACACAAATCAGATGTCAAGAATTATATCGCACAACACGTCGCACGTTGCATGTCACACACACAACACGTCGCACACAGCCTGTCGCATGTTGTACGCAGCACGTCACATGTTGCACACACAACACGTTGCGTCGCGAGTTGCACGTAAACAGCACGGCACACGTATGTCGCACATGCACATGCACAACACGTCGCACGCGCACAACACGTTGCACATGCACACAATATGACACACGACCCGGCACCCAGCACAACACACAAAAATCACAGACGACACCGACACACCAGTCACACACTCAACACACAACATGTCACATACACCAAGACGTCTCACACCGACACACACGACACCTGACACACACGAGACACATGACACCGACACACACGACGCACCCGACACCGACACACATGACGCACCCGACGCACCCGACACCAACACATGACGCACCCGACACCAGACAGCGACACACACACCACACATGACACACACGACACCCACACATGACACACACGACACGTCTCACAACACATTACACGACACAACACTGACACACACACACAAACACGTCTCGCACGCACGCACATCTCACGTCCGCCGACTCACACATAACATCTCACACGCTGACACTCACACTCCGACGCGTGCTGACACACGCATGCCGACGCACGCCGAGGCACAGCGACACTCGCACGCCAACACTCACGCACGCCGAGGCACGCCGAGGCACAGCGACACTCACATGCCGACACTCACGCACACCGTTGCACGCCGACACTCACGGACGCCGACATTCATGCACGCCAACACGCGCACGCTCGCCGACACTCACATGCTCGCCGACACTCACGCACGCCGACGCTCGTGCGCGCCGACACACAACATCTCTCGCGTGCGCCTACACACAACTTCTCTCACGCACGCCGACACGCGACATCTCTCGCGCGCTGTCTCACACGTGCCGATAGACACCGACACACACGCGACGTCTCTCTCACGCGCCCGCACACACGCAACACGCGACGTCTCTCTCACGCGCCCGCACACACAGACGACACCGACACACGACACCTCACATGACAGACAAAACGGCAGACAACATGACACAGAAATCACACACGACATCGACACACGACAGACAAAACGACAGACAACACCTCAAACAACACACAAAACAACAGACAACATGACACAGAAATGACACATGACATGACACACGACACCTCACACGACACACAAAAGGGCAGACATGACACAGAAATGACACAGGACACACGACACCTCACACCACACACAAAAGGGCAGATGACATGACACAGAAATGACACATGACACCGACACACACGCGACGACACACACACGAGACGACACACAACACCTCCCACGATACACAAAACGGCAGACATGACACAGCCAGCCCCAAACTGACTTCCCCTCCAGCCCCTCCTCCTCTAGGCTTTGTCCCTATCCTGGGCCAGGAGGTCACCGGATTCCTTTGTTCTCCAACCCTTTAGCTCTCAAGGGCCAGACCATAGTTGCCAGGAAAGAAGGTGTCTGCCATTCTCTGTGTCCAGACCCCTGCACACACCCGCCCTCTAGAGCTCTGCAGCGATCATACACCCTTCTCCCACCACCTACATACTTAAGAACTGCATAGGGGAAACTGAGGCACCCCCACACTATTCAAAGGAAACATGAAGAACAGTCCCACTTCATCACAGATGACTCCAGGAGGTGAATTGCTTTCTATCCTACCATGTTTCTCTCTCTCTCTCCTCTAGTATGTTAGCCAACACACACACTCTGTCTCTGTCTCTCTCTCTCTGTCCTTGCCTTTCCCTGTGCTGTCTCCCTTCGTAGGACACGGGCAGGCACACTAGGTGTGCATCCCCACAGGCTATGTCTCGGAAGCCAAGAAGAAGTAGGAGGGGACGAAAATCATGCAGGGCAGTGCGTGCGAGCGTGGACCAGTGACTGTCAGTGTTAACTTGATCTCTGTTCATCAAGTGGGGCCAATGCATGGATGAGGGCAAGATTTTCAGCACCAATGGAGCTTTATATAATGATAGCTCGTGCTTGGCTTTTGCAGCTGCTCTCGCAGAGGAATTGTCCAGGAGCCCGAGCCAGAGGAGAAGTGGCCAAGGTGTACCTAAGCAGCTTGGACATCCTTCTAAGTGGACATGAAGAGTCGTCAGCTTTCTGTCTCCCGCATAACTGGCTCTGAGTAAGCGGTCAGTGCTTTGAATTCCTCATCTGTGCTCGCTGCAGTATTCTTCAGAGGCCGTGTGCTTCCTCTTTGGGTAAAGGGCTCTGTGAAATTATGGCTGATGAGGGGCCAGAGTCTGCTGTGCAGAGTGATTATTTCGGGTGCCGTTGCAAGGGGTGCTTTCTAGTTTTAGTACTAAAGGCCTGATGGTGGGGAGGGTTGGGGCAGAACGCCGCCGTGCAGGAGAAGAGAAAAGAATAGCCTATGCAATGTTGCCCACTGAGATGGTAACTTATTTGTTTTTCCTCCTCGGTCTGGGTTTAGTACAAACAGTTTACTCCCCTCATTGGATGGAAAGCGAGCGAGAGCAGTGAGCCCGCGAGCACTGTTGATGCAAGCCAGGAGTCGTCCAGTTGGCAGTGGAGCAGTCGCTAATGTCAGTGAGATAAGTGTCTGGTTTGTTTAAGGCTTTGTTCACGGCCCGCCTGGCTCCAGGTAGGGACTCCCCATTAGCTGGGGCTGGGTTTGTAAGAAATGGTTCCTGACCAGCTGTGGTTACGAGAGAGACAAGGTCCCCGTTTTCAGGGGCTGCTCATTTCTCTGGCCAGGAACGGTGTCTCCTTCGCAGGAGAAGGTTGCATCTAGGAGGAGGACTCCAGCTGGTGAGTTGCTTGCCTTCCTCCCATGTTCTTCTCTCTTCTCTTGTGTGTTGGCCAACTTTCTCAGTCTCTCTCTCCTCTGCTCTCCTGGTGCTGTCTCCCTTTGTAGGACAAAGGTAGGTGTGCATTCCCCCAGGTGAGGTCTCGGGAGCCATGGAGAAGTCGGAGCGGACGAAAATCATGCAGGGCAGTAGAAAGGTTGCTGAAAGTACCTGAAGAGACAAAGGAACTGAGAAGGGGGAAGTCCAGACTAAAACAGGAGTCTAGTCTGTAAAGGGAAACCACGGGAAGTCTAAGCTACAGAAACTCTTCAAGTTGCCGAAAGACATTTAGGGTGAGAAATTACTTCTTGAATCCAGTCTCTTCAAGATCTTAGGCTTAGTATGTGTGTGTATTTGTATTTGCTTAGTAATCTGCCATCTTCTGTTTGCTATCCCTTACAATAACTGAAAATCTAACTTTTATAGTGAAACTATTTTTTGTTTATTATTATTATTATTATTATTATTAAACCCAGTTTGTGCAACTGGTGCGCCGTGAGGAAATGCTTTGTGTATTACTCCAAGGGGCTGCCCGGTGTCACTGTTGGTCCATGAGGGAAATGATTTGAGCACTACCTGAATTGGCCAGGAAGTGTCACCATTGCTCCTTGAGGGAAATGCTTTCTGCGTTACTCCAAGTGGCTGCCCAAGTGTCACTCTTGCTCCATGAGGGAAATGGTTTGTGCATTGCCCTGACTGGCCACCCAGTATCACTGTTGTTCTGTGAGGGAAATTATTTCTTCATTACACTGAGTAGCCACCCAGTGTCATTGTTCCTGTATGAGGGAAATGATTTGTGCACGATCTGAATTTGCCACCCAGTGTCACTGTTGCTCTGTGAGGAAATGCTTTGTGCAGTACCCTGAGTGGCCACCCAGTGTCACTGTTCGTCCATGAGGGAAATGGTTTGTGCATTATCTGGATTGGCCACGTGGTGTCACTGTTGTTCCATGAGGGAAATTGTTGGTGCATTACCCAGAGTGGCCACCCAGTGTCACTGTTGCTCCGTGAGGGAAATGATTTGTGCATTACCTGAATTGGCCACCCAGTGTCATTGTTGCTCCGTGAGGGAAATTGTTTGTGCATTACCCTGACTGGCCACCGACTGTCACTGTTGCTCTGTGAGGGAAATTGTTCGGGCTTTACCTAGAGTGGCCACCCAGTATCACTGTTGCTCCGTGAGGGAAATTCTTTGTGCATTCCCCCTAACTGGCCACCCAGTGTCTCTGTTTGTCCAGGAGGGAAATGGTTTGTGCATTATGTGGATTGGCCACCCAGTGTCACTTGTGGCACCTTAGAGACTAACCAATTTATCTGAGCATAAGCTTTCGTGAGCTACAGCTCACTTCATCGGATGCATAGTGTGGAAAGTGTAGAAGATCTTTTTATATACACACGGTTAAGGAAAAGTTAGCACATGTGACTCCATTTTGGTTTGGGACCCACCATGGTTTAAATGCCAGCACATCATACACCAGGAGGAGTGATCCTTAGATACTGAATCCCTGTGAAAATCCTCCTCCTTGTCTCCAGCCTGCCTTGACTCCCAGTATCTGGTTTTTGTCAGTCTCTAACTCCCTGTCTCTTGGCCTTGATGTGAGGCCTCCCATCCTGATAATAAATGTTACTGATGCATGGCTTTAGGACCATGCTGTGTAATTAACATACTGGTATAGCACGAGGAATGCACCAAGCAGGGATAGGTGGTAGATAAGACAAGGATTTGTTTATTGGCTAAGGTTTCCGATGCACGAGGGCAACATGCTTTGCTAAAAAGTATATAACCTTTGTATAATCTGTATTCAGGGTCCCCTCCTGGCTAGCAGGGGGGCACCACGCTCGAGCGTAATAAACTTAGTGTCTTTTGGGAACTCTGCAGTTGTGGACTTTGTTTATGTGCCTCAGCCTAGATTCGAACTGTGCGTGTCCTACCAGGTGTAATTCGCAGCAGTTGTGTGCGTGTCCAGGTGTAATTTGTAACAGTTTTGGCGACCACAAAGGGACTCTAGGCTCGCCCCAACAAGCGAGACTACACTCCTCCTCTTGGACAGTTCCAGCCGGCACAGGGTGAGTTCACCTTTGAGAACTCTAAGAAGGGGGGGTGTGAGCCGTCACTTAGGCAATAAGGTGGCACATTTGGTGTCCTTTTGGTAGCCCATTATGGGTTCTGGGCAGAGTGTAAGTAAGGGGACCCCTTTGGCTGAAATTCTCGAGAATTGGGGGAATATTTCTTGTACCCATGGGTTAGGTAAAAAAAAAAAAAGCTGTAATCTTGTGCAAGGTTGAGTGGCCAGCACTAACAACTCAAACACCTTTTGACTGGCCACCGGATGGTTCCTTTGCTGGGGAAAAATTAACAGCGCTTAGGAAAAAGCTGGAAAACAAAGCTCCAGTCCAGATGGATTATTGGTATGTATGGGACAACTGGCCTTATGCGCATGCGAAAGGACGTCCTCTTTCCTCCTCCTTTTCTTATTCATCTCAGGGATCTCCAGCCCCGCTCTGTGCTATGCCTGCTTCTGCCCCTCCTCCGGCTTACCCTCGGCTTTCTGACTTATGCCCGTCACCTCCTTGCTTGCCAATTAGCCGTGCTTTCTGTCCAGGTGACAAGCCTCATGGGGGTAGAACTCGGGTAGCCCTTGTAAGTGAAAATATTTAAGAAAAGAGACCAGGAGGGCTGGGGGCTAGTTAAGAAGCCTACCCTCCTTGTTAATTTGGTAGTGAAACAAAGCTGGTGCTCATGGAAGGGACAGTTCAGAGAAAAAAAACAGGATCGGGCCCAAGCGGCAGGCAACAGATAGAGAGATTGGAAAACAGGTTGTAAACTTGGAGGTCATAGTGAAAAAAGAGGAGTAAATAATTACAGAAATGGAAAACGTAAATCCCGGAATAATACTTGAAATGGTAAAATCTAAGTTAATTGGGTGTCGTTTTGGGAAATAAGCAAGTGATTTAAAAAAGGATAGTAAAAAGTTAACTCTGTAGTTGCTGGAAAGAATTAAGCAGTTGAACTTTGTAAAATACTGGAAAGAAAAAGAATTCTTGGTTTCTTTGCAGCCATTTTGGAAAAAAATGGGCCCTTTTCCAAAAAAAAAAAAAATGCAATTATACAGTGTTACTTAATTAATATCTTATTAGGCTCCAAGGGGCTACAATAGGTGGTGTCTTCCTTTTCAGGTCGCTGTGTGTTTGACAGCAGGAGTTAAAAGTAAAAGGCAATCAAAAGTCTGGTAAAGTTTATTGTGCCCTTTTTAAAGTAAAAATCTTTAACCTGTGGATCCAAAAGCAAGCCAGAAAGCCTTTGTTTTAATGTAAATTACCTAACTAATAAGGTAGAGGCCACTGAAACCTGGGCTGCTTATAAAACAAATACAAGAAAATATGGGTAATTCCTCTGTTTTGCCTGCAATTAACAAGGGCATTTGTATAAAAAGAAAATATTTTAAGCAATGACTGACTGCCCAAAAGGGGTAGATCTGTGGTTTTTTTTGTCTTTCAAAAAATCAGAGAAAACTAATGCCAGCTGAAAAGCAATTCAACATCTCATAAATTTACTGGCACAATAGGAATTCTGTTCTGTGTTCTATGTCCTGTCTTGTGGTGTTTGTCTTGTGGCCAGAATTGCTGTGTTTAATTTTTCATAGGACAGTTTAGTTTAAAACTAAATAGAAGGGTTAAATCAAAATGCAGATACTCGTTTTATTCAACTTGGAATATATACTAAAGTTTAATATATTTGCTTAAGTAAAAAAAAAAAAATTCATTGGCCAGATCTTTTAATTAAAAAAAATTGTTGTTAAAATTTGCACACCAACAGTCTTTGGAAGCAAGGACATGAAAGGTTAACCCACTCCCCATATTATACATAAAATCCTTCTGGCTACCTCACATTTCTAGCCAAAGGGCTGGGGAGGGAGGAAAGCTACTGGACACCAGAGGTTGTACCAAGTGGACTCCTCAAAAGTGGGTGTGCTTGTCCTGGCTTGTTGCTCCAAAGCTCTGTAATAAAGTCATTTTCGTAAAAGGGTGTATGTGGCATACATTAAACAATAAGACTAAAGTGCTGTATAATGGGCAATGTACATGTGTTCCTTTTTAAACAAAGATGAATAAGTAAAAAGTAAAAGTTTCCTTTGCAGGTTAATAAAAGCCAAGAAGGGGAAAAAAAAATAAAACGGAGGACAAGCTAATTCACAAATGAACACCACGACCAACCCATGGACTAAGCTTTCCAGCTACTGGGACCTTCACAGCCCACCAGGACTTTTTGTGTTCCTGTTTATTGGACTTACATTGGGGGTAGTGTTTTTTGTATAGTATAAAGGAGAATGCTGACATTGGTATGGTTTGCCTGGGGGGTTCCTTTCCCTATTCCCAAGTCCAGTACAAGGATGGAAGGGCAATAGCTTCTTAAATTTAACCTGCGCTATCAAACAGGGTGTAAATTGAACGCAGTGTTGAATTGGTATTCATACCCCCACATATTTAGGTCAGGGGGTCCCGTTGGTAGGAGTACCTATCCCCCTTAATCAAACACTCCAAACTAAGCTTTGGGCAAACACTACATTTAACTGAAATGTTACAATCCAAATATGGTCTATTAATATGGTGGCCCAGGGTAATTATGCTTTATGTGTGTCACGACGTAAGGGCATAAAAAATACAGTTTTTGTAGGAAATTTTGTGGGGTGCAAGGACACCACCCAAATCAGCTCTGGTGCGGGCGGCCCCTCTACCTACTCCAGGACCCCGTGGCCAGTCCCCAAGGGGTCTGGCTGGTATTCGTTATGCAATCACACAGCCTATAAGGTTCTCCCAGCAGGATGGTGTGGTACATGTACCTTAGGGGCTACAGTACCTGCCGTGACAGTACACCAAAACCTGACCCAGGGAGAGATCCGCAATCTAGTATGGAGGGACAGACAAAGTATTCCTTTAAACCCCCTTTCTCAACGGCCCAAAGGCTTTCACTCCTTTGTGCGTTGGTTTCTGCCATGGTTGGGAGTAAGCGAGCTAAAAAAAGCTATAGTTAACATTTCAGCTGCTTTGAAACTAATGGCAAATGCTACTGCAGTAGCTCTATCTGCCCTTCAAATTGAAGTCACCCAGCTATCCCAAACGACATTGCAAAACAGCCTAGCCCTGGATTATCTCCTTGCAAATCAGGGCGGGGTTTGTGCTCTGGTCAATTCAAGCTGTTGTGTATTTGTAAATCAGCACTATAGGGTAAAAACTAACATCCACATCCTCAAGCAACAGGCAGCCCTATTCCACCACATCAGCCTTGACACTACCAGCGCCGGATTCCAGGAGGTCTGGGACTGGCTCACCTCATGGCTACCGGATGTGGGGACTTGGGGACGGCGTATTTTGTATTTACTTTTTTTGACTGTTATTGTTTTTGCGTTATTTTTTGTATGCCTACAATGCTGCAGTATGTGCTGTCGGCAGTTGCTAACCCTGCAGCGCGGTTACTCAGCCCCAATATAGCTTACTGACGTACAAAAAGAAAGGGAGGACTGTTAAGAAAAAGTTAGCACATGTGACTCCATTTTGGTTTGGGGCCCACCATTGTTTAAATGCCAGCACATCATACACCAGGAGGAGTGATCCTTAGATACTGAATCCCTGTGAAAATCCTCCTTCTTGTCTCCAGCCTGCCTTGACTCCCAGTATCTGGTTTTTGTCAGTCTCTAACTCCCTGTCTCTTGGCCTTGATGTGAGGCCTCCCATCCTGATAATAAATGTTACTGATGCATGGCTTTAGGACCATGCTGTGTAATTAACATACTGGTATAGCACGAGGAATGCACCAAGCAGGGATAGGTGGTAGATAAGACAAGGATTTGTTTATTGGCTAAGGTTTCCGATGCACGAGGGCAACATGCTTTGCTAAAAAGTATATAACCTTTGTATAATCTGTATTCAGGGTCCCCTCCTGGCTAGCAGGGGGGCACCACGCTCGAGCGTAATAAACTTAGTGTCTTTTGGGAACTCTGCAGTTGTGGACTTTGTTTATGTGCCTCAGCCTAGATTTGAACTGTGCATGACATATCAGGTATAATTCGCAGCATTGGTGTGCGTGTCCTACCAGGTGTAATTCGCAGCAGTTGTGTGCGTGTCCTACCAGGTGTAATTCGTAGCATTTGTGTGCGTGTCCTACCAGGTATAATTCACAGCAGTTGTGTGCGTGTCCTCTCAGGTGTAATTCGTAACAACACAAAGCATGAAAAAATACCTCCACCCACCCCACTCTCCTGCTGGTAATAGCTTATTGGCGGCTGTGATTGCAGAGCCATTGGCCATTATCTTTGAAAACTCGTGGCGAACCGGGGAAGTCCCGGATGACTGGAAAAAGGCTAATGTAGTGCCAATCTTTAAAAAAGGGAAGAAGGAGGATCCTGGGAACTACAGGCCAGTCAGCCTCACCTCAGTCCCTGGAAAAATCATGGAGCAGGTCCTCAAAGAATCAATCCTGATGCACTTGCATGAGAGGAAAGTGATCAGGAACAGCCAGCATGGATTCACCAAGGGAAGGTCATGCCTGACTAATCTAATCGCCTTTTATGATGAGATTACTGGTTCTGTGGATGAAGGGAAAGCAGTGGATGTATTGTTTCTTGACTTTAGCAAAGCTTTTGACACGGTCTCCCACAGTATTCTTGTCAGCAAGTTAAGGAAGTATGGGCTGGATGAATGCACTATAAGGTGGGTAGAAAGCTGGCTAGATTGTCGGGCTCAACGGGTAGTGATCAATGGCTCCATGTCTAGTTGGCAGCCGGTATCAAGTGGAGTGCCCCAAGGGTCGGTCCTGGGGCCGGTTTTGTTCAATATCTTCATAAATGATCTGGAGGATGGTGTGGATTGCACTCTCAGCAAATTTGCGGATGACACTAAACTGGGAGGAGTGGTAGATACGCTGGAGGGGACGGATAGGATACAGAAGGACCTAGACAAATTGGAGGATTGGGCCAAAAGAAATCTGTTGAGGTTCAATAAGGATAAGTGCAGGGTCCTGCACTTAGGATGGAAGAATCCAATGCACCGCTACAGACTAGGGACCGAATGGCTAGGCAGCAGTTCTGCGGAAAAGGACCTAGGGGTGACAGTGGACGAGAAGCTGGATATGAGTCAGCAGTGTGCCCTTGTTGCCAAGAAGGCCAATGGCATTTTGGGATGTATAAGTAGGGGCCTAGCGAGCAGATCGAGGGACGTGATCGTTCCCCTCTATTCAACATTGGTGAGGCCTCATCTGGAGTACTGTGTGCAGTTTTGGGCCCCACACTACAAGAAGGATGTGGATAAATTGGAGAGAGTCCAGCGAAGGGCAACAAAAATGATTAGGGGTCTGGAACACATGAGTTATGAGGAGAGGCTGAGGGAGCTGGGATTGTTTAGCCTGCAGAAGAGAAGAATGAGGGGGGATTTGATAGCTGCTTTCAACTACCTGTAAGGGGGTTCCAAAGAGGATGGCTCTAGACTCTTCTCAGTGGTAGCAGATGACAGAACAAGGAGTAATGGTCTCAAGTTGCAGTGGGGGAGGTTTAGATTGGATATTAGGAAAAACTTTTTCACTAAGAGGGTGGTGAAACACTGGAATGCGTTACCTAGGGAGGTGGTAGAATCTCCTTCCTTCGAGGTTTTTAAGGTCAGGCTTGACAAAGCCCTGGCTGGGATGATTTAACTGGGAATTGGTCCTGCTTCGAGCAGGGGGTTGGACTAGATGACCTTCAGGGGTCCCTTCCAACCCTGATATTCTATGATTCTATGATTCTATGATCTAAAGTGACCACTCTCCTTACAATGTGTATGATAATCAAGATGGGCCATTTCCAGCACAAATCCAGGGTTTAACAAGAACGTCTGGGGGGGGGGTAGGAAAAAACACGGGGAAATAGGTTATCTTGCATAATGACTTAGCCACTCCTAGTCTCTATTCAAGCCTAAGTTAATTGTATCCAATTTGCAAATGAATTCCAATTCAACAGTTTCTCGCTGGAGTCTGGATTTGAAGTTTTTTTGTTGTAATATAGCAACTTTCATGTCTGTAATCGCGTGACCAGAGAGATTGAAGTGTTCTCCGACAAGTTTATGAATGTTACAATTCTTGACTGTTGCTCCATCAGGGAAACTGTTGTTGCATTACCCAGAGTGGCCACTGAGTGTCACTCTTGCTCCGTGAGGGAAATTGTAGGTGCATTACCCAGATTGGCCACCGAGTGCCACTGTTCCTCCGTGAGGGTAATGCTTTGTGCATTACCTTGACTGGCCACCCAGTGTCACTGTTGCTCCATGATCGAAATTGTTTGTGCATTACCCTGACTGGCCACCCAGTGTCACTTGCTCCGTGAGGGAAATTGTTGATGCATTACCCAGAGTGGCCACCCAGTGTCACTGTTGCTCCGTGAGAGAAATTGTTTGGCATTACCCTGAGTGGCCATGGAGTGTCACTGTTGCTCCATGAGGGAAACTGTTGGTGCATTACCCAGAGTGGCCACCCAGTGTCACTGTTGCTCCGTGAGGGAAATGCTTTGTGCATTACCCTGAGTGGCCACCGAGTGTCACTGTTGCTCCGTCAGGGAAATTCTTCGTGCATTACCAAGAGTGGCCACCCAGTGTCACTGTTGCTCCATGAGGGAAATTGATGGTGCATTACCCTGAGTGGCCACCCAGTGTCACTTGCTCTGTGAGGGGAACACTTTGTGCATTACCCTGACTGGCCACCCAGTGTCACTGTTGCTCCGTAAGGGAAATTGTTTGGCATTACCCTGAGTGGCCACGGAGTGTCACTGTTGCTCCATGAGGGAAACTGTTGGTGCATTACCCAGAGTGGCCACCAAGTGTCACTGTTGCTTCGTGAGGGGAATGCTTCGTGAATTACCTAGAGTGGCCACGGAGTGCCATTGTTGCTTCAGGAGGGAAATACTTTCTGCATTACCCTGAGTGGCCAGCTAGTGTCACTGTTGCATCCCCCTCACTGGCCACCCAGTGTCACTGTTGCTCCATGTTGGAAATTGTTGGTGCATTACCCAGAGTGGCCACCCAGTGTCACTGTCGCTCCATGAGGGAAATGCTTTGTGCAGTACCCTGAGTGGCCACCGAGTGTCACTGTTGCTGCGTGAGGGAAATTGTTGGTGCATTACCAAGAGTGGCCACCCAGTGTCACTGTTGCTTCGTGAGGGGAATGCTTTGTGAATTACTCTGAGTGGCCACCCACCGTCACTGTTCCTCCATGAGTGAAATTGTTGGTGCATTACGCAGAGTGGCCACCAAGTGTCACTGTTGCTCCGTGAGGGAAATTCTTCGTGCATTACCTAGAGTGGCCACGGAGTGCCATTGTTGCTTCATGAGGGAAATACTTTGTGCATTACCCTGAGTGGCCAGCTCGTGTCACTGTTGCTCCGTGAGGGAAATTGTTTGTGTATTACCCTTACTGGCCACCCAGTGTCACTGTTGCTCCGTGAGGGAAATCGTTCGTGCATTACCCTGAGTGGCCACCCACCGTCACTGTTCCTCCATGAGTGAAATTGTTGGTGCATTACCCAGAGTGGCCACCCAGTGTCACTGTTGCTCCGTTAGGGAAATTGATTGTGCATCACTCTTACTGGCCACAGAGTGTCACTGTTGCTGCATAAGGGAAATTGTTGGTGCATTACCCTGAGTGGCCACCCAGTGTCACTGTTGCTCCGTGAGGGAAATACTTTATGCATTACCCTGAGTGGCCAGATAGTGTCACTGTTACTCCGTGAGGGAAATTGATTGTGCATCACCCTTACTGGCCCCCCAGTGTCACTGTTGCTCCATGAGGGAAATTCTTCGTGCATTACCCTGAGTGGCCACCCACCGTCACTGTTCCTCCATGAGTGAAATTGTTGGTGCATTACCCAGAGTGGCCACAAAGTGTCACTGTTGCTCCGTGAGGGAAATTGTTGGTGCGTTACCTGGAGTGGCCACCCAGTCTCGTTGTTTCTTGACGGAAATACTTTGTGCATAACCCAGAGTGGCCACCCAGTGTCACTGTTGCTTCGTGAGGGAAATTCTTCGAGCATTACCCTGAGTGGCCACCCAGTGTCACTGTTGCTCCGTGAGGGAAATTGATTGTGCATCACCCTTACTGGCCACCCAGTGTCACTGTTGCTCCGTCAGGGAAATTCTTCGTGCATTACCAAGAGTGGCCACCCAGTGTCACTGTTGCTTCGTGAGAGGAATGCTTTGTGCATTACCTTGACTGGCCACCCAGTGTCACTGTTGCTCCATGAGGGAAATTGATGGTGCATTACCCTGAGTGGCCACCCAGTGTCACTTGCTCTGTGAGGGGAACACTTTGTGCATTACCCTGACTGGCCACCCAGTGTCACTGTTGCTCCGTAAGGGAAATTGTTTGGTATTACCCTGAGTGGCCACGGAGTGTCACTGTTGCTCCATGAGGGAAACTGTTGGTGCATTACCCAGAGTGGCCACCAAGTGTCACTGTTGCTTCGTGAGGGGAATGCTTCGTGAATTACCTAGAGTGGCCACGGAGTGCCATTGTTGCTTCAGGAGGGAAATACTTTCTGTATTACCCTGAGTGGCCAGCTAGTGTCACTGTTGCATCACCCTCATGGCCACCCAGTGTCACTGTTACTCCATGTTGGAAATTGTTGGTGCATTACCCAGAGTGGCCACCCAGTGTCACTGTCGCTCCATGAGGGAAATGCTTTGTGCAGTACCCTGAGTGGCCACCGAGTGCACTGTTGCTGCGTGAGGAAAATTGTTGGTGCATTACCAAGAGTGTCCACCCAGTGTCACTGTTGCTTCGTGAGGGAAATTCTTCGTGCATTACCCTTTCTGGCCACCCAGTGTCACTGTTGCTCCGTGAGGGAAATTGTTGGTGCATTACCCAGAGTGGCCACCCAGTGTCACTGTTGCTCCCTGAGGGAAATACTTTATGCATTACCCTGAGTGGCCAGATAGTGTCACTGTTACCCCGTGAGGGAAATTGATTATGCATCACCCTGATTGG